AATAGATAATCATAATACTAACTACTAACTAACTAACTGTTTTCCAGTATAGTTACTTTTTCATTTGATGGTATAGACTTAGACTTAAACTTAGACAGACTTTATTGAGCCACAAGAGAAATAATTTGGGCACAGTGGCTCATACATCACAATATAATATAATAACTAAGAGCAAAAATATAAATGGTAATAATAAATTCTAAATAAGTAGCAAAAAAGAGCAAGAGGCAGGTGTCAAGTAAGGCATAATTATATAAATGTAAATATACTGTAAAAATAAAATAGAAAGATAAGGAATAAAATATAAAATCACAGCTTTATACAAGAGGTCATAGAAAGACAATGATATGATGATTGACAGGACATATGTTTATCATTTACATAAGGGTGAGTTGTTGTACAGTTGTAGGGAGTATTATCTGTTACCAGTGTTGGGAAGGTTACTTTTAAAATGTATTCCCCTACAGATTACAGATTACGTAGCCCAAAATGTAGTTTGTAACGTAATCCATTAAATTACTTAAAGTGAGTAATGTAATCTGAATACTTTGGATTACTTGACATTGTCATGCTTTTTAAAACTACATGAATGTAACGACCACATCCTGAAAATTCTTGTTTGTTCAAATTGTCTGTTGAGCCCAAGTCTCCATGAACAGGCATTTGTTTGCTGTAGAGAAGCAAAGACGAGGATCTTAACATAAGATTTTTTTTTGTTTTGTCTGCTAAAAGACTTTCCTCAACTGTATTAAAAATATTATTGATAGAGAAATTATTAAGATATGAGATCACCTTAAATTATGCCCACCCTACTGTTAAGTGTCATATTGTTTAGACCTGGTTTTAGTCCTAGTTTAGTCCTGGTTTTAGCCCTGATTTAGTTCTGTTTTAGTCCTGGTTTAGTCCTGGTTTAAACCTGGTTTAGATCTGGTTTATTCCTAGTTTAGTCCTGGTTTAGTCCTGGTTTAATCCTGGGTTTAGTCCTTGGTTTAGTCCTGGTTTTAGTCCTGGTTTCGTCCTGGTTTAGTCCTAGGTTTAGTCCTTGGTTTAGTCCTGGTTTTAGTCCTGGTTTCGTCCTGGTTTTAGACCTGATTTAGTCCTAGTTTAGTACTGGTTTTAGTCCTGGTTTAGCCCAAAATGTGAAAACAGGAAAATACCGCCATGAAATCTATTTATTTCAACAAAGTTACTGTAATCCAATTACCATTCATTGAAACGGTAACTGTAACTGAATACAGTTACTCATAATTTGTATTTTGATTACATAACGCCAGCACATGTAATCCGTTACTCCCCAACACTGTCTGTTACATAAGGGTGAGTTGTTGTACAGTTGTAGGGAGTATTATAGTATGACTGTAGTCCTGTATCTCTGTCCACTGTTTGAGTGGAGCTGTAGGAGCCTGTTAGAGAATGAGCTCCTATGTCCCTCTACCGTCTGGTGCTGAGGATGAGTTGTACAGTTGTAGGGAGTATTATCTCCTCTGTCCCTCTATAGTCTGGTGCAGTGGGTGGGCAGGATTGTCCATGTTGGAGGGCAGTTTGTCCAGTGTCCTCCTGTCCCTCACTGTGACAAATCTCTCCAGCTCACAGCCGATCACGTGACCAGCTTTACCGATCAGTTTGTCAACTAAAAACAGTTACTTTTCTAAAATCAAAGGAATACAGTGCTCAGTACTTGATTGCGCAATTTAGGCTTAAACTATGTATGGTTTAAGCCTAAAGTGCGTGAGAAAAATAAAAAACACGACTCTTACAGCGAAGCATGTGTAATTTATCCTTTCCTAATTACTGATGGAAATGCAGAAAAAGCAACAAAACAGATTTCAACTTAACACTATAATTTATATTGTAAGTATTCAGAATGTAGTACTCTGATTGGACCTTGGAACAGATGCTAACTAATATTTTCAAAGTATTCTTGTTACTATATAAATATAATTGGGTACAGGACCTTTAAGAGCGATATATTTCTTTTAACTACTTTCGATATCTTTCACATTGTTTAACTTATACCATTATGCAAATGGAAAACATGTGAGGTGCTGAGGTGCTGCGATTGTTAAATATGTAGCTTAGTGTTTCATATAACATAGAATATTTGATCACCTCTTGTGGCTTCAGGGCGAGAAACCACACATGCTCGGTCTCGGGTCTGGTGAGAAAGAGGCAAATGGTGATTAGACAAAGTTAGAAAACAAAATACACAGTGATATGTTCTTGTTGGTGGTCGACTTTGGTCTTAAAATGTTTTATTAACCCGCTCTACACGATCCTGGGTTTTTTATTTTGCTGTTTTGTCCAGAAATCTATTCCTATTCCAGTAATCTATTCCTGCAAACCTCGATAAGCTTCATTTGACTGCGGTTGAACACTGGATGACGTCACGTTTCTTTATACAGGCTAAGCATTAAACTGATTTATCTCCATGGACTCAAGTTCTGTGGAAAGGAGGACAAACAATGCAGTTTTTAAGGTATTTTAGCAACAGAAACAACTGTAATTGAATAAACATGAGATAGATACAGTATATTTAAAGCCATACTGTTGAACATTATCGGCAATTGGACACAATCAGATGTAAGACCCTCCATGAAAATGCTTACAAAGTGCATCCTTAAGTGTTCTGCTGATTCTAATTAAACTCAAATATAGTTTATGACGGGGTGGGCAAACTACGACCCGGGGACCGTATGCAGCCCTTGAAACCTTTTAATCTGGCCCACAGAACTTGAAAAATGACAATAATAAACCTTGTTAATGTTTTATTTTTCCTGCAATTCCGGCGTTTCCCAATAGATGGCGCACTCTAGATACACTGATCTTTGTTGAAGTGCGGCGTATTATGCTGCGTTCATGTGGTGTCGAAAGATCCAACTTGCCGTGTTGTTTTTCTGACCTGAGGGGTGCGTTCATGTGAATTTTTTCAGTTTTTCTGATCATTCCGACACCACACGAACGCATCCTGAGAATCGCGACAACAAAACTAACTCCAGACTTTGATGGTTGAAAAGGGACACCAACAACACTGTTCCTATTGAAATAAAAAATAAGTTTCTCTGCTGTTCTGTAAAAAATGCATTTACGTGTTACATGTCATTTCTGTTAAGGTGTGCACATAAGAGGTTTTCATTATAAACAATGCGCACCAGATCAAATATTACACTCTCGCATACTGGCTCGCTGTCACTGTTCCGTCCTTGCGCTGGTCGTTGTTGAGTTTTGGCTCTGGGGATGCACTTTGAATAGAAAAAGCAGGACAAGTAGATCTAAATCTCCTTCCATTTTTGAAATAAAGACAGTCAGGAGGAAAGTGATGATGATAATAACCTGAAGGATAACAGAACTTTCAGTGCTTTAAAATAATAACTCATCTGGGTCCGGTCAAGCGGTAACGGAGGGAAACAGGGGCAGATTTTTTACATTCAAATAGCTCTTATTCAGAAACTAGAGGGACTATTGAAATAAGTAAAGTATTAGAATGTAGGAAAGAGTTAACACTCCAACAGGGTAAAGTTAAACCTGTGATATTCTTTCAAGTTGTTGACAATAAATTAAAAAAAACTCATGTCGATAACGGAGGGAATGAAATATGCAGCATTTTTTGGGCAATAAATACAAACAGTGATAACTAGTGGTTCTCACTTACATATCCTTAACAAACTGGTTTGAATATTTGCTTCATATAGTTTTCTACCATATGGTACAAGATTAGGTTGAAAAACCTCTTACTTTTTGAGTAATGAGATTTTTTATTAAGAAAAGTCATGGTAACGGAGGGAAAAGTAACGGAGGGAAAATTGTGCAAACAAGTAGAAGGTGCATGATTTTGCATAATTTGTCAGCTTTTTTCTTCCAAATACTTTAATATTACTTCAAAATGAAAGGAAACTATTTCTATAAAATATGTCAGTCCTTCCAAGCAAATTTTTATCATTTTAAATACATTTTTTTATTTTAATCATGTACCTTCATCAACAGTTCAAAGATCGAATAACACAAGATATGATGAAATACATCCATTTATTTACATGATTTGCAGGTCTTTGAAATTTGGGAAATAATTTTTGTTCCATGTTTCATACATGGTCTGTTTAAAACATATGTAACTTTAGAACCAAAAATGGTACAGAAAAAAGGTAAACAGTTTCATAAACTAGAGTACATATGTATCTGTTGAATACATTTTTATATCAGATGCATTAACTTGAATTTTTGGCCTTGCTGTTTACTTCTGCTTGACCGGGCCCATATAACAAATACAGTAATAACAAAAAAGCTGTAATTTATTAATTTAATTTTCAGTGATTTAAGAGTAATTTAAGCAAATAGTAAACACCGTGGGACTTGAAAGACATTGTAAATATTTAGTTGTAATGCTTTGTAATGATTTTCAATTGAAATTCAAGCAGAGATTTCCTACATATCCCATGTTATTTTTTATTTTTTTTCTCTCCACTCCATCCATCTGCTCCAGGTCGGGCATTTAAGCCAAATTTTAGAACCCTTTGTGACCCACAAGCCAAAAAGTTTGCCCACCCCTGGTTTATGAGTTTTCAGAGATCATGCATGCAACTGTAAATATTTTCCTCATGTCTCTATATTGACTGGGCCTGGTGTGAACAACAATGCCGATTTTACTGTTTGTATTCACAGCCCGGGATCAGAAAGGTTTGTAAATCTCAGCATTTTATCTTTTCTTTTTACAGTATTACCAGCAAACAGGCGATTCAGTGCTGGTAGCAGGGTTTGAACCGCCAACCTTTGAGTTAGTGTCTCGACAGACTAAGCTACAGCGCACAAATGTTGTTGTTATTGCTGTATCAAAATCCCACGCGCCATGTGTTTTCATCATTAGCTGTGTTCTTATGTCTCGGAACGGGCAAACTCAAACAGCTCCTTTATTGCCTGTCATGTTTGTACTGATCTCTGTGGTTACACGTTGTTCCCCTCATCTTCCCTCCACTGCTGTCACTGTCTGCAACCATGGCAACCTACAGCCAAAGACTTCCCAGGGCCCAGCTCAGGTAACTACCCCCCGAACGCTGACTGTGAGGCGGGCTGACCGTGCGAGCCCACCCCCTTCATGGCTGCGCTCCTTCACCTGCCCCACAGCATGAGAGGCTCCATCAGCATGCACAGACACACCAGCCACGTCTCCATCACAACAAAACAGTGCACTTCCTCCTCGCAAGGAAGCTCGCCTGGTGTGAGGGTCAGGGCAGGGCGTGTCCGGACTATACTTGCAAAATCCAAATAAGTTGGGGTAGAAGTTGATAATGGTGTAATTTCAGTTGGAGAGAGTTGTTTTTTGAAAGCAATATCTAAGCAGAAATGCCACAAATGTGTTTCCTATGTAAAATAAAAAACAAAACTACACTATTAGTATGGAAGATAATTTGTTCAGATTTTGAATTTTAATAAACACTGAATTTTTGAGCTCTAAACAAACAGGTTGAAATTATTTTTTATTCTGAAGTTTAGTTGCTAAAATTTTAAGTGTACTTTTTCAAGTGTTTCAAATTGAATATTAAAAATTAAAATTCAGAGTGTAACCCTGCGTTCAATTATTTTCCGACTCCCACTTGAACCTCAGATTTGACGTCATGTCCGAGCTTGAATTATATTTTTTATTATGTTTCGCGTGTCGGACTATGTGGATTATGATTATGACTATTCCCTCTGCCACTTTAATTATTGTTATTATTTTTTAATTTGCACTTAATTTTATGTTATGATTTCTCTTCCATTACAACCTCAGGGACGTTAACGCCTGTTAAATCAAGTATTTGTTAAATACTGGCCTCACCACAACAGCGACTACCAAACCCACAGGCAGAGATACGGACGTGGTAAGGTCTTGCAGTGATACGAGTGACTGAAATTGTCATTTAAATCACCAAAGTGTCCAAACATAATGAATACAGTTCATATTTACACATCACAGTGGGCATAGCCATCTTGGATTCTGACTCTGAATCCTTGCTCGGTCTACTTTTTCCACCACCGAGGTCCGAGTCGTGCTGTTCCAGAAAAAGGGGCGTGTCACGTGTGTCGCTAGGCAACTTCCTTGGAAAACCGATTCGGAAGGATAATCGAATGCAGGGCAAAATTTGCAGAGAAAATTTCTACAGCAAAGAACCAAGATGCCAAGGCAGAAGCAATCGATCATGTGTGAGTGAGGAGGACAGAGACTGATTCCTATTGGCCGTTCTCATCTGTGGGCGGGGTTTACACTTAAGAAATAAAAGAGATGACGTTTTGATGAGAATAATTCTGACCAATCAAATAGCTTCCCAGCACCATTTTCTGTTAGTTAATAAATTAAATCAGATCACTTTTGATCGATTGCTTCTGCCTTGGCATCGTCAATCTTTCCCACATTTTTTTTTTTTTCACAGCGAATTTTACCCTCTGAATTTTGGCTGTTGAATTTGAGGGCTTGAAAATATGTGTGCTGAATATTTAAATGGTGATTTTTAAACACTTTTTTACACACTTTGCAGTGAAAAAAATTTGCAGGAAAGATCCAAGACGCCAAGGCAGAAGCAATCGATCCAATGTGATTCAATCGAACTTTTTAACAAGCTGGAAATGGAGCAGTGAGCTGATCTGATTGGTCAGAATTAGCCTCATCAAAACGCCATCTCTTTTTTTTCTTAAGAGTAAACCCCGCCCACAGATGAGAACAGCCAATAGAAAACAGTCTCTGTCCTCTTCAGTCACATGATCGACTGCTTCTGCCTTGGCATCTTGGCTCTTTGCTGTGAAAAATTTCTCTGCGAATTTTACACTTTGAATTTTGACTGTTGAATCTGAGAGCTTGAAAATAAATGTTAATATTTAAAAGGTGATTTTGAAACACACTGAAAAAGTTCACTTAAAATTTCAGCAACTAAAATTCTGAATAAAAAATATTCAAACATCTTTTTTCAGAGTTAAAACATCCAAAGCAAGAAATTCAGCAGTATTTATAATTTTAAAAAATCTGATGGAGCAAATTATTGTCCATATATTACTAATCAAGTCTATGGAGCAAAGTTAACCATTGGTTTCACTGATGAAAATCTAACTCCACTGCCATAGCAATTGACAATTCTATATAAAAATGATCTTTTAATCATTTTGCTACCAAAACCAGCATTACAACACATTATAACAAATAAATATATGTTTTTGTAATTAAGAATAAATCAGTATTACAATTCTGTCCTACAAAGGCAAAAGACGTTAATTCGCTTGAGTGTGAAACTGAAAAAAATGACTTCAAAGTTTCTGTTTTGGTCAGACAAAAGTATAATAGGTTGGGCTCCCAAAATTTGACAACTAGTTGCTATAATGAAGAAATATTTGTATGTGAAAAATAATGAGCTCAAAATTTACCTTTGACACTTTTGTTACTTCTTGTACTCTGCCTTTGTATCATGAGCCAAAAATAAGGAGTTGTGCAAAAGCAAAAGGCACAAGGCAGAAACTGTAACAAGATCATTATTTGCTTGATTTTCCCCAGATTTCCATCCATTATAAGAAAAACACCTCACCAAGCTCGAGTCATCATGGAGTTTGTTTGAAATGATACAGAAGAGCTTTGGATTTCCTGTTTAGTGCTGATCAGGATCATGCGGCGACACTTACACAGTTAAACAGTTTGACACACAAGTTACATTGCAGTATAGTGTGTACAGTATGAATACATACATCAAATATTTTCACATTAAAGATAATTTAAGTATAATTGAACACAAAGGTATATTTATTTAATGTGTTAAGACCCTGTGCCAAGTGTTGTTGAAGTTTTCAGCTTGTCCAAGAAAGAGTGGAAGTAAAAGGCTGGAGACCAACTGGATGTCTTACACAGGAGAAGTTTATTTACCATCAACACTGTTGGGCAAGTTACTTTAAAACTGTAATGTGTTATTTATGACTTTTTACTGTCATTTCAAAATAATTTGTGACATTACAATATTACTGTATTTAAAATGTAAGACATTACACGTCTATTGTATTACTTTTAAGTTACTCTCGCCAAAATAACTGCGAAGATGCTGAACTTTTGCGCCGTATATGGACTGAACCAGGTCTAAACCAGGTCTAAACCAAGTCTAAACCAGAGCTATACCAGTACTGAACCAGGACTAAACCAGGTCTAAACCAGGACTAAACCAGAGCTGAACCAGGACTGAACCAGGTCTAAACCAGAATTGACCCAGGTCTAAACCAGGTCTAAACAGCGCGGAGTTCTGCCCCGTCCTTTCACCCGCAGTTACCTGACGGTCTATGCGGGCACGTCTCTGGCGTTTCACCGCTGCTGATATCGCGGTGATTTTAGCGAATTTGTATGAAGAAAAACCCACCACTTCAATCCAGGTTAAAAATGCACATTTGCACAGAGTAAAATATAAAAAAATTTTCCCTGTAATGCCGTAAGATTACTGCGTTACAGCAAAAAGCAATGCATTACAGTAATTTGTTATTTTTATAATGCATGACCAACACTGACCATCAAAAATATGGGCCCAGGGGGACTTGAAAAACGTGAACATAGTATGATTACAAAAGAGAACATATTATGATCTTTGAGTTCAAGCCCCTTTACTATAGAGGTTTATAAAGCAAGTGGTGAGACTATGAAGGCCAGTAGGCACCAGTTAGACAGAAATATGCCACAAGTTAGACAGTGGTATGCCAATGGTGCGCCAAAGGAAGATCATGGTGTAATTATAGCTTTTGTGAGTCAATGTTAAACTGAGATGTACATGGAAGATAAATTACTTAAATTCTCTTACACCAAGGCAGCACCATAAAGGAGGCGAGATGTTGGGTTTTAAAATAAAATATATTTATGAACTAAATCACAAACAAAATCTACATTGTTTCTGTCTTTTGCCTTTGCACGACTCCTTTTTTGACTCATGATACAAAGGTAGAGTCCAGGAACTGACAAATAGGTCAAATATGTTTATGCAAATAGGTCAAAGGTCAATTTTGAGCTCAATATTTTTCACAAAATTTATTCACATGATGAAGGAGATCTCAAATACAAACAAAATCACATGAACTCATTTTTGACCAAACATGATGTGACAGCATTCTGGTACAATTATTATCAGTAAAAGCTAAACTGAACTCATATATGGGGACACAGAGTCATGTTCATGGAAATAAAATTTAAATTACATATGGTTCCTTTAAAATGTACATATTATTTTCAAAAGTTTAAAATGATGTCAGGGTTTGTGGATCATTTTGAAGAAATAAAAAAAAGAGTCAGTGATTCAGGAAAATCATTTTAGCAACACTCGCAGTGATGTTACCGTCACATGTAAAACCTACGCAGAAATCTCGTGGTTTGATTACATTTTGCAGTTCAAACCGGCCTCCTGTTACCATTTTAACATTCTTAAGTGTTGGCATTAGCGTAAGAAGTGTTTAGGTGACACTGTGAACCTTTCTGCAGAATTGTACAGCTTGGTGTGATATGAAAATTACTCGTGTCTCTCCTCGACATGTACAATTGCCTGCACAGATCTTAGTGTCCACCGACGTGCGCCCAATTTGAACTCAGCTCGAGTGTTTGCCCACACTGTAATTACTCCAAAGTGACACACCGCTCCTCGGCGCAATGCATGAAGTGAGCTAAAATGCATGATTCACAAGCCTCCTGTGTTTTGGTATTTGAACGCTGGATTATATTGTTGTCACTGGGGAATTACAGCACCGTAACAAGCTTGGCGCACACTTTCCATCGTCATTTCCCGGGGTCACTTTGCTACAGCGAGCACGAGCCACAGTCATTCATCAGCCTGAGCTAATGAGAGCACATGTGAGCGGCGCTAACCACAACAGCTAACATTTCATTACAGGACACACACAAAGCTCGCATCCTCCTGGCTAGCTCGCCACATCGAGAATTTCACCTTAAATAAGAGTCATCCTGGCGGAGCTCATCCACAACCGCAATGAGAACAAGAAAAAGGGATGTGTGCAGAGACGTTCGTTCTTTCAGCGTTGCTACGGATTTGTCAAATGCAATGCTGTAAATTGATTCCAGTGCCTCTGAAAAGGGTTGTTCTAAATCTAGCAGAACTCATTTGGGATACATGTTTTGTTCACAGCTGGATGTTTGCCAGGAAATTGCTGTGGAAATATTTCCCTGCCTGTTTATTAAATGTCTACACCTGTGCAATAGGACCCTGAGAAAAAAAACTGAATGCTCGAAATTAAGTTAAATCTAAGGGAGAGAAGAAAAGCCTAAAGTCAAAAGGAAAAAAAAAGTGACGTTAGTGGTGTCTCTGATGATTAGTTTCTCATCCTTTGAGATACTGTTCCATTGAGAATTGTGTTTTGATTGTGAAACATGGTTTGGGGTTATGCAAATTTGGGAAGAAATGTGGAATTTAAAAGTGTACCATGTAGCTTTTCAGCACCTGTGTACTTTAAAGGGCCCATATAACGCTATTTTCTGATCTACGTTATAATGTTTCCTCATCACAAACAAATCTGGAGTTGTGTTTTGTTTCATTCCCACATGTTTAACACACAAACCCTGCAGATTTAGTTTTTGTCTCAAACAGAAAACACTTTATTCCACCTTGTAATTAGCTCTGGGTATCATTAAGTTGCCTATAAGATACATATGTCAATACAGTGAGCTTTCAATTTGATATGATTTGATACGATATATTTCAAATCGATTTGATACAATTCAATAAAAAATAAAGGCTAAATCATGGCTGTGATACTAAAAGTGTTTGTTAAACCATTTCTTTTGCAAAGTTAATATAAAACACGCTCATTTTGATAATTTAAAACTGTGAAAATGTCAAATGTGTCACGTAAACGAGTTTCCTTCCTCTGAACAAACAACAAAACTGTAGCGCTGTAACAAAATAATTTAACTAAATATACCAAAAAATACTCATACAGCAGCCCACGATATCAATACTGTATCAATCACATTAAACGATACGATATATTGATATTTCCAGATTTTTGGACACCCCTAATTGTGATGTCATGTAGTAATGCAGGAAACGCTCCACTGTGTTTTTAAACTCTGTACAGCTTCACTTTATATATCATTTTAACTCTGGAATTACTGATCTCCACTGAACTACAGGTAAAAGGCAAATGTTGACTTGAAAATTAACACTTCATGACATCACAAGGTGGAAAAGAGCTAGACAGACTATTAATAAAAGATTACTAAAACATGTGTGAATGAAACAAAACACAACTCCAGGTCTGTTTGTGGTAAGGCAACAATATTTCAACATTGTTTAAAACTCCAAAGAGTCAATTTTGCGTCATTAATAAATCACAGTGTTTTTAGTATGTCATTAATCAGGCCTGTCACAATAAATACTATATAAACAGACGGAACAATCATTTTTGGGGGTCATTATTTATCGTGGGGACTCTTTTTTTCCCTTCAATAATAGCAGAAAAATATGGTTATATTTCTGTAGGACGAAGAGATTTGAGCTGAAGAGAGTTGAATAATGCACTTCTGTGACTCATTGTAGACACAAACAAACTACTTAAGAGTTCGGATTTCATTAAGCAGTTCATATTTTTAACAATATTGTACATTTAGAATCATTTTTGGGGTGTAATTCTGCTTTAGGGTTTGTGTTACGTGTTCTCGTGACAGGCCTATCATGAACCAGGTGATTTGAGACTGATTTTATACATGCTCGCCAATCTCATAATCCATAATGTGATTTTATAAACTCTGCTCCCAGTGTTTCGTCCCTTCATTTCAGCTTAACTCTCTGTAGCCTCGCCACGGCTCTCCACTCCACAGCCTCTTTAACCCCATCTCCCCTTCTCCTCTGTGTGTCTCAGATCCTAACGCTTTAGGACAACACGGACCTGACCACGCGCTAATCGGAGGAGTTGTAGCTGTCGTGGTCTTTATCACCTTGTGTTTGATAATCGTTCTGGGGCGATATCTAGCCAGACATAAAGGTAAGAGTGCTCCGCCGCTCCCTTGAATATCAATGTCCATTCTGAGGTAATTGCGTGTGAAGCCTGAGATAACCGAGCGTGCCGTGTTGGGTTTTGGCAGGGACGTATCTAACGCACGAGGCCAAAGGGGCGGAGGACGCTCCAGACGCAGACACAGCCATCATCAACGCCGAGGGCAACCACGTCCACGCAGAGGAGAAGAAAGAGTACTTCATTTAGACTTTTAACTTTCAGTTCCGACTCTTCTCGACAGCAGACATGCAATCTCTGGCTGCCTCAGTGTCATCATCCGTTTTAGTGCTCCTTCAAAAAAAAAAAAAAAAGAAATGCTTTCTCCCTTTTTGTAATCCGTGTGAACTTTTGATACTGTCCAAGGCTTCGGTCCATTTCACCTTTCATAGTGCCTCGATGCAATACTTTAATCTTTACTTTTGGTGCATTTGAAAAGGCCATTCTTTACCTGGAGTCCTCCACTTAAGCATTTATAAGCAGAGAATTAACATTTAATAGGTTTTTACTGTGAGCCAAGTTGGAGAAGTGAGACAGGTGCTGTGAGCCAAAGCCATCAAAAGGAGAGTTGTGGATCGCAAAATGCCCTGCAACATATTAACCAAATTGCCTCATAGATCTGCTCACAGCTGCAGAGTTAAGCCCATTCAATGTTAATGTCATTCTTATAAATGAGGACCTTGTGTAAAGTCTTGGCTGCTTCTTAATTCTGTTGCCTGTTATGAGTTTTTTTTTGTTTTTTTCTTAGGGGTTTCCTGAAGTGATGTGGGTATTGTTAAGATTTCACCCACTGCAAAAAAGTAATCATTTGATTCAGAATATGAATCTTAAAGGTGCGTAGTGTAACTTTTCTTAAACACTTTTCCTCATGGAGATGTTTTTGCTTTGTCTGAAATGTTTCACAGTGCGGCATTAAACTGTACTATCTTCATCGTGCTCAAAACGGTCCAAGTTACGAGTCAGATCTGTGGAGAGGCGACCCCGCTCACAGTCAGAATTCCAGTTTTTCTTGGTATGTTTGAGCGTTAAAACCACCTTTAATTGAATAAATGTAAAGTCGAGCTGTTTAATGTCATATTGTGGAACATTCCATTCACATCGCCATAGAAACAAGACGTTGACGAATCCCAGAGCACCTTCATAGTGTCTGTGACAAGTCGGCCCACTCATTTTACTAAAACACAATTACAATCAGTATTATATATATAGTATATTTAAGTTTAATTTTTTTAGGTTTAATAATTTACTTCATGTTTGAAAATTATAACATCACACTAGGATATTCCATAAATGTTACCTAGTAACCATGTAGTACACTGGGCCAAATGTACACAGAAAATACCATTTAACAAATAAAATAACGTATAATGTAAGGTATTAATTGAGCTCCGTAATCTGACGTGTTTCGAGATGTTTCTGATCGGTTTACACAGATTGTTTCTCATTTTAGGCCAATGGAGAAAACTGCACTTGGTCGGGCTGCAACAAACTAATGTAGATGTTGACGAGTTACCAATTGTATTTATTATATTTTATTAGTTGACTAGAAACAAGAAAGAATCCCAAACACCATCAATCCTTGCAAAAGTTACCACATCCTTTTTAAAGGATCCATATACTATTTTCTGATCTCTGTTATAATGTAGTTTCCTCATCATCATCAACAGACCTGGAGTTGTGTTTTGTTTCAGTCACACATGTTTAACACACAAACCCTGCAGATTTAGGCTGAGTTCTTCTCTCAAACAGTAAACACTCTGTTCCAACTTGTGATGTTATGTGCTCCACTGTGTTTTTAAACTCCATACACCTTCACTAGAATCATCTGAATGGTTTCAGCACTGGAATTTCCAAACTCTACTGAACTAAAGATAAAAGGAAAATGTTAACTTGAAAACTACCGCTTCATGACATCACAAGGTGGAAGGAACAGAGCATTTTGAGCTTTGGGGATGTAGACAGACTCATATTAAAGGGTTACTCAAACATGTGTGAATGAAACAAAACACAACTAACACCAGGTATGATTTTGATGCGGTGACAACATTATAACATGGCTAAAACTTACAAGAGTCAATTTTGAGTACCATATTTTTGGACTATAAGTCGCTCGGCAGTATAAGTCACACCAGCCAAAAAATGCGTAATGAAAAAGGAAAAAACATATATAAGTTGCACTTTTTGAGGGGAATTGTATTTTATAAAATCAGAGGCCAAGACATTTCATTTTGAAAGGCAAGTTATAGTAAAAACAACAGAACAGAGAACAACAGGTTGTTAACGTCACATATGAACAGTTCTTCAGATAAATATAACATAAACAACAGAACAGAACAAGTTTAACAAACTCTCCATCTCACTCCAAATCAATAAATCCATTGAATTCTTCATCCTCGATGTCACTTCTGAGTAACTCCGCAACCTCCTGGGGTAAACAGAGCGCCGCTTTTTCTTCTGTGTAGCTGTCGTCAGACTCAGCATCAGTTCCAGTTAGAATTATTCCGGCCTTTCTGAATCCCAACAGGATGGTTTCAGTGTCACTGAAGTCACTTAAATATAAAATTTTCAGTGGTACAGAAGTAATGGTGCGATCGACTGACATGATACAGACAGGACAGAGGTTCTTTCTGCAGGAGACATGTGCAGTAGAGTGAAGTGACAGTGGTACAGGAGTAATAGGAGCAGCAGATACTGACACACAAGACAAGTGTGAAAATTTTAATATTTTAGTCGCACTGGAGTATAAGTCGCAAGACCACCCAAACCATGTAAAAAAGTGCAACTTATAGTCTGAAAAATAGAGTAATATTGGACTTTTTATTCTCATTGCAGCCCTACCATTTGGCAGATTCATTTTCTAGTGTCAAGCCCTGAAAGAAGTTAAAACATTTATCTAGGTCACATAAAGATATTCTAACTTAATCAAAGTCACTCAAATCAAGATAAATATTCTGAAGTCATCTTAACCAGAGGTAGTATGTTTGCAGTGGCCCTTGTGGACTGTACCTAAAGATGAGATTGTAAAGCGAGCTCTTTCACTGTCACATGTCTGCAGTGATGCATAAACCTGTCTTCCTAAAGAGCTCTGCAGTCGAGTGAAATTGTCCCGGCCAGTTCCTCACACTTCGAAACAACTCAAGATATTCCAGATTTTTTTAGTTTTCTTGTCAAAAATGCTGGAATGTGTTTTGTTTCATTCAAGCATGTTTGAGTAATCCTGCATTCTCTGGCAGTCTCTGAAGCCTCAAAACACAAACTTTCCATTGATTTCAGGAAGCACGAATCAATCACTGTTTCCACTTTTTTTTTTTTCTTTTGATGTTCATGAATCCTGGCAAAGGAGAAAAATCAGTTTGTCGACTGGACAAAACTTTATTTGGTTGAATATGTTTCACAGCTCATCCAAGCTGCTTCTTCAGTTCATGAATCCTGCTTAAATCAAAATTGTGACCAGTTTGTGACATGATAATTGAATTATTATGTTTTTGTTTTGTTTTGGCCTATCTTGCATCTAGGTACTCCTGATTAGCCTGAATTTAACTCAAGAAATAGAAAATAGGGACAAATACCTGACCTATAAAAACATCAATCTTTCTTTGCAAGTCCAGAATGATGGCTTTCTGGATTTTTTACACAGATAGATATCAGTCTGGTCAGCACTCCCTTCGTCACCTTTGCGTATATAAATATATTTAAAAATGTATTTAAAAAAAAAATAAAAAAAATGTTATGTCAAACCGGAGCTATTGGCAATAGTGAAAACAACCTGCATAGGCTCATGATATCTGCAGTACTGTCCTATAGTGACCTGCGAAATGAGAGACCAGGACTGAACCAGGACTAAAACAGGTCTAAACCAGGACTAAACCAGAACTAAACCAGGACTGAGTGGCGGGACGTCGGGTGACTGCAGGCGATCGGACCGGCACAGAGCTCCGTGCCTCATGGAGCTAAGTGCAGACGTCACCAGATCGCACTTTGTCTTGGGTTTCTCTCTTTCAAGTCCAAGATTAGTCCTGGTTTAGTTCTGGTTTAGTCCTGGTTCAGTCCTGGTTTAGTCCTCCTGGTTCACTCATGAATCCCTGAATCCCTGGATACCCCAACTTAAAAAATCCCAACCACACCAGTGGCGAGCACTTGCACGGAGCACGGCCTTGTGTATCATGTGATCGCTTTGACCAATCAGAGCGAGAGGAGCAGAGTGGAGCCAGAGCTAATGATTATAAAGCATTTTTAAGACAACTGAAGGATTCTGAGCTGAGTAAAAGTTTATGATCTAAAAATAGGTAAAAATCGCCCAAAAAAAATCCAACAGTTTTGAAAGTTGTAGGTGTCCTGTCAGCCGAACATGAGCAGTTTGGAATTACACTGTGCTCTATGAGAAAAATCCTTTCTCGGCCGGAGGGATTTTTTCGCTGAAGTACCAGTGAGTGTCACTACGTCAACTGGAGGCAGCTACAAGCGGCAACACCCTATCCAGGTATTTTAATATATCCATGGTGGAGATTCACTGCTGACCAGACTCACATCTTCATAAAATATTGAGGAAGTGTTCTTTTTGGATCGAAGCGACCATTAACTTTTGTTTTGTGTTAAAATGATCCATCTTTACGTACAGTCCTGCACATAAGTCAAATATTGTGTGAGTTTTACCTTTTCTGCTTTGTCGAAATCACTCACCCGAACCACGCCACCCCTGAAGCACAATCGGCATGACTCTCTTGACGCCCGACCCCCGTTTTCCACCGCTCTTTCTTACTTTCACTCTCTCTTTTCCATCCTTTCTGCATTCCTGAACAAGCGAGCAAAACAAAAAGCACAAAGTTAAAGAAGGACTATGGGAAACACATCACCTGCTTCTCGTCTCAGGAGTCTCGACGGTGAAAACGGCGCTCCCCCCTCTGGTACGGAGTATGTAAACTTTTGCCGGACTGGAAGGAGGGACTTTGATTTGCAGATTAGTCGTAATAATCCGAGTGAGTGGAATTTCGCGTGGTTGAATTATTAGTTTCGGGAATACTATGCTAAATGTGATCACTGCTGTAAGATACTTTGCTAACGTGAACTATGGTGAGTAATACTTGTTAATCCTTGACACTTTGCGATTTGTATATTAGCATCTTATACAGTATTTAATTTATTTTAGCTTTTTGTTGATTTGCCATAAGGCGTGTAAATATCATGTAAGTACTAAAATTTTGAATTCAAAT